GAGACCTTTTGTTCTTCCTCGTGGTAGCCTCTTGAAATTCACAACCGAGTGACTAAAGATCCCAACCTGATCTTCTGCGATGTTATGCAATCTTGAGTTCGTGGCCGGATATCCCTAGCCATGAAATTTGCTCTATTATGCGCACAATCTTTGTTTGCCCCAATTTCCCGAGACTTGAGACTTGATCTTCACCATATACGATAAACACACACATCTTCACTTAACATCAACCATGCATATGCTAGGAAGCAATTATCGGCTATAATACAAATTTACACATTTTGATTCACAAATGGACATGACAACACCAAGATATAGGGAGGTAAAGAACACCTATTTGAGTGTTACCAATCCACCCATGCTTAAACGTTTGCTTGTCCCCAAGCAAACATGTGATTAAAATGTGCAACTCAAAGTCCTTACACCTCTCCCCTAAATGTGTTTCAAACCAAGATTCTTGATTGTTGGTAAGAAGGATGAATGCTCTAATTGTTTTATTTTACACCTTCCACATAACCTTTTATTATGTTCTTGAGATTTCTTTGGGTTTGTTGAAACGAAGATGTTTTGTGTTTCTGACTGAGCAAGTAGGAGTCCTATGCATTTTTTCTTTCTCTCCTCTACTTAGACTTCTGCCACTACATGAAGATGACAAACCTTTGAACGGATTCGAACAAAATCTAAGCAGGATCTCCATGTACATCACCCTCTAATTTTCATGCGATTGATTGGGAGTATTCATATTTTATGAGCTAGTACTGAAAACTTTCATTGAAAAAGTGTGATCGGTGCCTCACACCTAACCCTTTGAAAAGCAACGCCACTTCATTCAAAATTTGGTTGTGGAAACGAACAGAACCACCCGTCAAGCAACCACCTATAACTAAAATTCAAGCTTCACGTTCAAACAAACCACACACATTCACTATTAAAACTTTCAAAGCAAGATACGCCAAGAAATCAAACAAAAACTCTTCATTTCGAAACATCTCACGCATTTTGCTCCTTAACATTGATAGACAAGGAGAAGCTAGATTTAATAATTCAAAGCATGAAATCACATAGTATGGCATTGGGGCTTACTTGGAACCCCTAAAATTTTGAATTTCTTTTGGAGTAATATCTTAGGTTTCTAGCGAGTTACTATCACACCAATCAACCACCATTCACACAACCATTCAATCAATTGTATTCTCAAACATAATCATAAACACATGCATTCATCATCATAGAGAATCAATCAATCGAATAAAAACATCATTCATGAACGTTTAAAAACATGCAGGGTATATCCTCCCCACACTTAAGAGACACATGGTCCTCAATGTGAGAGATCAAGGTAGAGGGATGTGGGTTATCGAAAAAAAAAATATAAAAGAACTAGTCTACCACACACAATGAATCATTTACACATACTAAATATTTTAGTCTAAGTACTTAAAAGGAAAATTAAGAACATTGTTAAAGTTAAGTAAAATAGAAAGAAAGATAAGAAAATGATAGGAAGTGGCCCTGTAATGCCAAGTGGAACTACTCATTACCGAAAGAAACATCTGGTTCATTAAAGTTCATAGGGATCTGGGGAAGGTGTCACAACATAGGGAGGATCGATCAAGGACATGCCCATTCCAAGTTGCTTCATAGTAGCATGATGGTGAGCATTGGAATGTCTCTGTGCCTCGGCTAGGGGTGTAAGCTTGACCCTAGAGACTCGTCGGCCCACCCCGCCCTTCTCGACCCTGAGGGTCGGACATGGTCAGTTTAGCGTTGGGTAGGTCAGGTCAACTTACAGGCGGGTTACTTTTTGACTTGTGACTCATGGCAACAATTAGTAATATGAAATTCCTTATACCAACACAATGGAACTGTATGTAAAGTCTTAAAAGTTTTGGTACTATAATGCAAGTTAAAAATAAAGGTACTAAGATATAATTTTACCACCAAAATTTATAGACCTGTTTGTAAAAATAAATTTCAATTGCTAAATTTTAAGAAAATTAAATTTCAGCATCGAAATGTAATTTAAAAAAAATCAATCTAGACGTGCCTATCAAGTTGTTGTTTCAAATCGCATGGATCGATGCGTCAATGCTCGATCAAATACATCACATCCCTAGATTTTATTGATGTACGATTTAGGATAATAAATATCGACCGCCATCTAGCATTAAATATAAATGGAGTTAATATTTTTTCATTTGTAACCAAGGAAAATATAAATGATTCTCAAATATTAGGAAATTTTTTATGGTGAAGAAGTTGGGGCTTAGCTGCAAATATGGTGAACAAAAATAAGTGAAACCCGACCCATCTGACTCACCCCAACCGTATTTATTGCTAAAAACTTAGGTTTAATGTTAAGTGATGATTTTCTTTTGTGGAAACTACCTCATTTGGGTGGTGTGGGTTTTGGGTTATGCAACCCGTCGATACCCGACCCAACCCATGTTATAACTGTTGTTCTATGTGTATGTATCTGAAACGTATATAAGTCGTATACAAGCATATTGTGAGAAAATTTTGATATTTTGTCATATTTACTCTCATTGTTTCACTAACCTAATGCATTTTCCAATTAAAAGATTTAGACGTATATTTAACATAGGTTTTGGTTCACATTGGTTTTTATACAATTTTAGTAGAATAACATAGTATGGATGCGTTAGCTTATAATTAATAAAGTCTTTAATTTATTTCGATAAATATTTATGGAAAATACTATACATAGGTCGAAGCAAATTGTAATCAAGATCCAAGCAACAATTTCTATGCAATTCGATGTTTTTGCTTTGGTTTATTTGCTTGGAATTTCATTAGTTATATACTTTTTATGTTGGATTTTTGCTTAAAAATATTGTAACGGGAGAGATCCATGGTTCATAAGTAAAAAACCAACCTTAACTGACAAAACGCGTTTTGGGGTAAAATGGAGGAGTTCTTGTGAGAACTTCGAAATTAAATGTGCTCAGTGTGGACTACAACAATGATGAGTGACCTTATGAGAAGTCATTGAATTCCACCCCAAGTCGAAAACTGAGAGGGTTGGGGCCCAAAGCGGACAATATCTTCGTCGAGAAAAAGTTACAGATGTTACAAATATAACACACATGGGTCGTCCAATCATAAACAAACGATAGAGTTCTATTTTTTTTTTTTTGGTGGATTTGGATTTAGTACTTTCAAAGTCGTAATGTATGGGTTAGGTGATTAAAACGACTAAATCAGTACCACCCAATCCATAAGCACCCCTACCCTCAGTCACATACTCACATTGCATACTCATAATTTCTTGAGTGATGAAAGAGAGGAAGAAAGTGTTGTGGGATGTGAACGAATAAGATTGTGAGGGTTTTATAGTTGCGGCTGGGAGGAGCACCGATCGTTGAGTTCTCTAGCGATACACATGAATCGTTTCAGGTCAAATTGATCAACTCTTTCCCACATGCCACCTCAACTATCAGTCTCGCATTTTTAGGCAAATCACCTTCCTCCGTAGTGATGAATGCGGATTGCTGAGTCGTTAACCAATCAGTTGTTACCTCGCTTGCCAACTCAACGATCTGTGAGCGTCGCTTTTCTATATAGCGATCAAAGACAGATAGCTTTAGAACTTAGTGATCAAAGTGCAGATCGCTTGAGTCTGCAACGATCAAACAGAAACATGTGTAAGTTGTGAATTTCTTATAAATATTGTGTATATTGGAATTTTTTAAGTGCTAGAGTACTTTGGGGGGGAAAGCCCTTGTACCTTAGGACATACTACTAGATTTCTTGATGATTGCCAAATTACTCCTTAGAGTCTAGACGTTCTAAGTGTACCTGGGCGTTGGGCTATGTTTGGGCTAGCACAACACATGCACGCTTCAGGCTAGTTTATCTTGTGTCGTGCTTGGCATGACTCATAAATTTTTATGTCGTGCCGTGCCAACCCATTTTCCAAATGTGCTAGGCCCGACCCTGGATCGGGTGTCATGCTCATATTCGTACTTAATGACAAAGAGGAAAATAAAAGAGAATAAAAAAGAATGAGAAAATTGGATGGAGAATGAAACTATTAATTAAAAATGTTTTGAGAAAAGTAACATATAAGAGAGTATATGAATATTAGAAGCATAACGGGTGTGATTTGGCTTTTTTGTTCGACCATTTTTACTTATGGTAGTAATTACATATATATCTTTATGATCACTTCTAATAACAACAAATAATTATTTTTGTAGTTGTATTTTGTAATATTTGAACTTATAATTATTTTTATATTTTCTATAAAAAAGTGTTTTTCGTGCCATGTCGTGATTATACTCAATAACGTCTCAAAAACATTAAATCTGCAACAATCCACTTATAAACCGTGTCATGCCCATACTCGTACTCGTAAAGTTTAGGTCGGTACGACCCGTAAATATTTATACTTTTAATGCCCGAACTCGTATCATGCTCTAATCGTGCCGTGTGCTAACCCGGCCCAACCCTGCCCTATGCCCAGATAGAGTTCTAAGCTTTGAAATCCGTGCCTGTTTACTTTCATTTCCGTTTCCTGTTTTTGAGAAAACATATGTTGAAAACAGGTGAAAACAACATTTTATCGTTTTCGAAAACAGCAGGAAGTTGCCACTTTCTGTTTTCATAGTTGGAAACGAATAGAAAACAGAATGAAAAGTAAACAAGTTTTCTCATTTCAGTTGCCAAATTTATCACATGAAAACAGAAAACAGGAAACGAAAATGAAAGTGAACAGGGCCGAAGAGAAATATGCCTTCATATTTCAAAACTTGTCTCTTGTGCCTTTCGCTTCCGTTTACCGTTTTATAGAAATTGATGTACGATTCAAATAACTCATCTGTAATGGGCTCAAGTTCTTCCTCTTCTCCTTTCGTAGCCCCCTTGCAATCCAAAGGCAAATTGTTCGACCAACACTGTCACCACTGCAACGAAGTACCCACTTAAATTAAACAACAAAGAAAATTAGCAGGAGATGAAATTATACATTAAGGTAAAACTGTAAAAGAAAAACATATTTATAGTAATATAATCATCTGATTGGTCATTCATAAATTCGCAAATCTCGATCGTTTTAATACATGTATTCTACCAGGAGCTAGCCCTCATTCTTTTACACAGGTAATCTAGCTCTTATTATTTTTCATGGCCACAGCTACCAGGAAAGCTTCTACATGTAATCTACACTAAACCACCTTCTGTCCTTGTCAACAGGAACAAAAAATACAAAGAAAACAGAGCAGCATTTGATGAACTATCCCTCCACCCTCTTCAAGTTCAAATCATTCGGACTTGTCGTTGGCTGCAATATCTTTGAGCATCTCTTTCAGTTCACCATTCTGGACACCATAAACAAACAAAATCAAAGAACCAAAGAATCAGGCCAAGTGTAAAAAGAAAACAAGCCCAACCTAAGATGGCATTGGCCACACTAACTAAAAGCAAGGGAAGGAACCTAAAATTAGAGGGAGGTACCTGATGCAGATTGAGAACTATATCAGACCCGCCAATGAACTCCCCTTTAATGAAAACCTGCGGAAATGTTGGCCAGTTGCTGCCAAGAAACCAGTGTGATTATCATACACCTATTTACCTCAGAGTGCCACTGATGAAAAAGCTTGGTCAAGCATCATCAAAGAGAGGGGGCTCTTGCACTATATATTAAGTAAAAATCAAGATTTAATTTTTCCGAGGACAAGTAACTCAGAGATCTTTTAGCACTTGATGGTGCAATCTTGAGTTGAAAGATTTCCTTTCTTTTTCACCTGAATGATTTCACAGCGTCTTTGAGCTCCGGATTCTCGATAATGTTTCTAGCACTTAGTGGAACCTCTGCGCAGCAAATAAAAAGTAAATACAGGTATGGTGAAATTCCACAAGCCACAGAAGATCATTACCACGTAGCCATTCAAATTCATTCCCACCCAAAATTCTTATACAACTTATAATTGCACTGTAGCCGAGTAGGTGGTCAACCGAAGTTGTGTAAGGAAAAATTCCCAAGTTGGTGGAAAGGAAAAAGGAGCCTATGCTAATAAATCAGTCTTAGGCGAATCATGGGTTTAATGTGATCCAAATTTTTTGACAAGTTACTTACCATACTGTCTCAGTACTCTTATGGCCAATGCACTAAATCCACACTGAGGATAGTCAGGCACACCTTTCATGTATAGCATCACAGGATTGTCTCTCACATCCTGCATGGATAGTCAATAACAAGACATTGACAAATTCCACAATTAGCGATCAAATAGTAATGGAATGACTATCTCCACAGGTCACAATAGTTTGTCTGCCAGAATTATTAACACAGAATACCTGCTCAACAATATCTTTCAAAGAAGCTTTAGCATTCCCGGTCTTATTACTTGGATGGAAGTCTTCATGCACTGCTTTCAATGCCAAACTGCATGTTAACTAACATGGAGTAGAAGAATTGCAAGCGAAACCAGAGTTGAAAACAATCAAGCACTGCTTTCAATGCCAAACTGCATGTTAACTTCCTGGCCCAAGCAAACACGCAACCATACCGTTCAAACCAAAATCAAGAATAGGATTTTAGCTCTTACAAATCTACTAGACCGCGATGCCGATGGATTAGTCAACCCCTTCAAGAGCATACTTGATAGCAATTTGGCCATTGTTGTCTGTAGCAATCAAGTAAACCGGGTTACTTATCTAAGAAACTCAAATCTAAAAGAAGCCTAAAGAGAGGGGGCACAATGACAACATTGAACATGCGAATGTAGATACTCTCATAAGATTCAGGTGATCCAGTTTCTCAATGCACTGGAAAAGCTGTATGACCCCATAAATAGAATTATCTGATCATAGACTTCTAGCACCAAAACCGCAGGCTTGCCCTTACACTTCTAAGTTCTAAAACTACAACAGGGTCTTTTGAAGGACAGAAGGATTCACCAAACGAGAGGGGATTACTAGCGAAAGTAACAATAAGACGTTTTGCAGGATGCAGAGGAAGCTTGCATTCCGCAGAAAACTTCACATTATGAGAATGGTCATTCATTCTCAGCGGTTCACCCTTCCCTTCACGTTCGACAAAAATATAATTGATTGAAGTTCCTAACTGGGTATGTAATCTTTTTGGTGGGGAGGTGAAAGAAGAGCTAATTTGTAAATTCCAATTTTCGCCAAGTAAATTGGGTGAGGATCACGGGTAACTACGTTAAACGAGCAGAAACTTACATAAATCCATTGGAAGGAATACAAATTACAGATGCAAAGACTTACTGCTGAAAGGAGAAGAAGGCGGCGGGAGTCAGGGGACGAGACGGAGCGGAAGTAAAAGACGATTTCGGTGACAGGTCTGACGGAAGCAGGACAGTGGAGAGGCAAGAGCAAGATGGGGAAGTGGCGGGCACTGGGTAGCCTTATTCTACTGTGGTCTCAACTCTCATGTTGGTTCGGTTCTGGCGTTCTGCCCTCCGCGGGTGAGGTTAGCTAGGTAGTTATCCAAAATGATCACATATCTTTGGTTTCTGTCAGTGTTATTAAGACCGGATCGAGCCGGTCGGTCGGACCGCTAAAGTCGCCGCCCGATAGCAAAATCTACTCGGGCGAGTCATTTAGCCATTACGGTTTATGGAGCGGCCGAGGCGATAAACCATTCGAGCCGCTCGAACCGGTTGCTCGGTTTTCCCCTTCCAGCCGTTCTGTTTAATAAAAAAATTGAAAACGAAAGGCAAAATCGTGGGGCTAGGAAAGAAACCCTAACTCTAATTCAGTTTTCGTCTTCAACTCTTCGTGAACAGAGGGAGATGAGCAGCGGTAGATCCTGCCGCCGCCAACACTTCCCGTCCTGGCTTCCTGTCGGCATCATCGCCATCCCCAGTCAGCGTAGCAGCTCCTAGTTCGCCATCACCAGTATCCGTCCTCGTCCCCTCTTCCAGTAGCAACTCCTCCGCTCTGTCGTCTCTTCCCGTCCCGACGCTTCCCGTCACTATCCCCAATCCTTGTAGCCGCTCCCGGCTCCCCACTCGCATGTTTTGGAATTGTTAAGATTTAAGAGTGTAATTTACTAATTTAATCATGGTTTACCATGATTAAGAAGTGTCCACTATTTATACTGATTGTTTATTAGGTACCGGTTTTCTAACGGTTTTTAAACGGTTTAGTGTCGGTTGGACGGCTAAAGGCCGAGCCGCACACATGATAGGCTCATACTCCGGTTCGCTTTTGACAACATTGGTTTCTGTACATACGGTTACATAGTTTTTATGTTTTCCAAAATGGTCACATGACTTTGAAATTTTGTATGGTCACTTTCTTTGGTCTTCATCCAAAATTTTGTCCAATTCAACGTCATTATTTCTCGTCATACAAGGCATTCAATCACCTCGAGAGGAGTCAAGGGAAGACGTAGCAAGCTGGGGGCCAGAGACAGATGGTCGGTTCCAGGTCAGATCAGTTTACGACATAGCGAAGGGAGGGACAAATTAGCTAGGGTCTTCGACTGGTGGACTCTATGGCGGTCGCAAGGTCCATCCCTAGTCAGTTATTTCCTCTGGCTCATTGTCCGAGACAGGCTCCTCACCAATCAGGAGAGATCACAATGTCACTTGGCGAGCTCCCCACAATGACCCCAATGCAGAGATCAGGTAAAGTCAGTCTTGCATGTGTTGTCGGACTGCTCCTTTTACGCGTTAACTTGGTTGCAGCTTTCGCAGTTTTCAAAGCAAAAAGGACTTTTCCATAGACCTTTTCAAGAATGGATACCGAAGCACATTTATGGAGAGCATACTTGACTCAACTTTGGCATAATTTGTTGGGCCATTTGGCGGACCAGAAATTATCGCGGCTTTACAGGCAAGTTCGTAACCACTCAAACTTTTCTACAATGCGTCCTAGCATGGATTAATGTCGTGCAGATTTCCATGGACAAAGACATGCTTGTTCATACCCCTCGATTTCCCATCAGAACGGAGGTTGAGATCTCTTGGATGACGCCACCACCTGAGTGGGTTACTCTCAGTTCAGACAACTCCCTTATTTCAGATTCAGGCCATGCAGCGGCGGGTGCCCTGATTCAAGATCATCTTAGATGCTGCATCGCAACATTTGCTATTAACTTGGGGATTTGTTATATCACCCAAGCAAAATTGAGAGACATTGTAGAAGGTCTTCAGTTGGCCTGCGACATGGGTTATTGTCGGGTCCGTCTGGAACTTGACTCGAGATGTGCGGTCCTGCTCCTCAGAGTAACAACATGATTGATCATCACCACATCGCCATCACTGACCGGTTCCAGTAGTAATCACCAAAAATTGGGAGGTCTCTATCTCTCACATTTATCGGGAAGGCAATAAGTGTGTTGATTTCCTAGCTAGTCGGGTCCATTCATTTTGTATGACTAGGCCTTTCCGAGCCTCGTCTTGTTGTGATTGAAAGTTGAGATGCTTTGTATCCATTTACCCAAAATAAATTCTTATCATCCAAAAATATAATAGTACCACTGGTCCTTTCTATACATTGTTAAACAGACAACAACACAGTCTTGTTGCAATCATATTGGATCATGCAATTGTCAATATGAGTTGGATTGAAGGATTACCATAATGCAAAATGGAAGTAGTCTGTGCTAGTTTCTCATACTGTTGTGGTATACTTGTGTCTACAAAGTCGACAGTGCAAACCTTCTCAAAATCATTCAAGTACTTTGGTTGTAGTCTAGACAGTCAAAATTTTCATATCCTTAGTAGAACAAGGATGACATACATAAAGAGATATTGGATCATCATATACAAGTGGTTCATGGTAGTTAGAAAAGTTTAAAAAGTTTTAACCAAAAAAAAAAAAAGTTTAAAAAAGTATTGAAACAATAATATAAAGAGGTATATGGAGACATAAGTTAGCAATTAAAGGTGACTTAAGAAGAACTTCTAGGAGCTCAAATTGTTGATATGAATCATCCTAATGAAGACAATAATAGAAGATTTCAAGAACTGCATGGGAAATTTGATACCTTATTGAAAGAAAAATAAAGCTTCTATAGGCTAAAGTCGAGGGTCTCCTGGTTGACTTTGGGTGATAAAAGCATTGACTTCTTCCACAAGCAGTCAGGATTCGTAAGTCCGAGAAATCACTTCATAAAATAGAATGGATTATGGTGAAGATCTAGTTGAAATAGAGAAAACAACATATTGGGTGCTTAAATTCTACAAGAAGCTTTTTGGTGAGGTAAAAAAGAGGTCTTTCTTAATGTTGTTGTTTTGGATTCTTTAGTTAGTATGATCTAATGAAGAGATATATATATGTTTATTCTCTCAATCACAGCTGAGATTATCATAAAAGTTATATTCTCTATGGGTGCACAAAGAGTGCCATCGCCTTATGGGTACCCTGCTGGAGTCTACAATAAGACAATGAATATCATAGGATAAGACATCACTTAAGGATTTCTGGACATATGTCATATAGGTAAGATGCCTAGTGGAGTTGATGATACTGCAATGTCATTATGCCTAAAGTCCCTAATGCATGGCATCTGAAAAACTATAGATGAATATCCCATGGCGATCTCTTGTATAAGATAGTGGCTAAAATACTAGCTAAAAGACTCAGAGCAATTATGCCTTATGTTATTAATGGAAACAAGTCAGCTTTCATTAAGGGTTGGCACACCATGGATAACATTCTCATGGCTCAAAAGAACCAGTAAGTGGATTACCATAGAAGGATATTGTCTTTTTGATGTGCCATTAGAATCAATCTACCGAAGGCATTTTACTCGGTTGATTGGAGATACTTATTCCTGATGATGGTAGTAATGAGGTTTCCTAGTAAGTTCTTAGCTTTTATCAGAGTTTGTGTATAGATGACATAGTTTAGTATCGATGTTAATAGAGGCTTATGTGGGTTATTTAGGAAAAAGAAAGGTGCCAGACAAGGTGATCCACTATCTCTATATTTGTTCACCATTGAAAATAAATGTCTTTAAGCTATGTTGGCTCAAACAGCCTAATGATGCCGATATCATTGCACGTGAAAAAACAATGATGCAAGCCTGGGCTACGGATTTATTCGGCTCGCGATGCTGGCGTTGTTTTTGGAAAAGGATTGCTTTTTATTCCTTGTCGGAAGAGGAGAGAAACGACATCATTTAGTGACAAGCAATGTCGCGGAGGGATTTAACGATGTCGCAGAGGTCAACGAAATCGTCAAAATCCCAACAACACCACGGGCTGGAAGCAAAGTTGTTGCTTTGTCTGTGCATGGTTGGTTTAGACAAGCCACTCAGTTGCAGCCGACTTCTGTCTAAACGGTTGGGTTTTGGTTTAAAAAAAAATACAATCAACGACTCTACAACACTAAGGAAGCGAGGCTGTTGAGCTAAAAACAACTTCGCATTGGCCGAGTTCTCGAGATAGGCCAGCTCAATTAATTATATATTTTAATAATTATTTTCGGCGACGTTGTTTAGTTGAATATGACATCGCGAGTGAGAGTTGTGGCATGCGTTCAATAAACTTCGCGACCCTGAGTCGGTGTTGTTTAGCTAAAAACATCGCCGTGGTATTGGTAAGCGATGTCGTTTAGAACTAAGCAACATCGCGGTGGAGTGCAATGCGATCACGAGTTTTGCGGCGTTGCGAGTCCGACAACGCCGCAAAGTTAAACGATGCCGTGAGTTAAACAACATCGCAGTCAGGGCCACTCTGCTATCATGAATCCAACCATGATCCAGCTTGATGTCGGAGGCTAACGAGGTTGCAAGCACAACTTCGAGCTGATGTTGTTGGTTCATATTAAGAAGCGACGTTGTTTAATCCAAAGCAACGTCGTTAGTTCTGTATGGTTGTTGATTCCGGTCCAACCACTCTCGTTGCAAGGTTGAGAAGCACAACGAGGCCACAAGGTTCGCGACACTGCGAGCTCGACGACATCGGTGGGTAACAACAACGTCGATCTCGATACTGTGAAGTCGTCACAAGTTTAGCAACGTGGCGAGTCCAACGGGGGCTCAATTCCAAGACAACAACTTTGCAATTTGAGCGGCATTGTGAACTCAAGGATGTCGCGAGTTTAACGGTGTTGTGTGGTCAACGATGCCGAGAGATCAACAACCTCGCGGTGTGTAGGCGGTGGCGAGGGGTGAAACAACAATGTTGTTTAATCGATGGCGCGGTGTCGTGATTTTAACCGTGGTACAAAGTTAATTATGTGTGTGCACGTGACTACAACTTCGTGAAGAAGGATGGAGCACGTGGGAGATAGAGGCGAGGCGTTTCACATCGTGAAGACTACGAAAGTGATTTTAATAAAAACACTAAAGCAAGGAGAGAAAGGACAACCAAATCAACACAGAAAACAACTCCGTTTCACTTACCTTTTTCTCTGTAACTCCTTCGCGGAGCTCTCCTTCCAGGAAGGATCTCCATAGTCGTAGCAGTAGTCGTACTCGCGGAGCTCGCCACAGGAATCTCCATAGGAGTAGTTGTAGCATAGATTCCACCAAAAATCTCAAACACCCTCGTTCGAACATTGTTTGGAGAGGTGTAAACCGTAGTAACGGTCGTTCTTGGTTAGAAGTCAGATGTGCATCGATCAAATCAACACCGCCCAGCGGTGAATATTTGACGATCGTAGTCAGAGTTGCACCGATCAAAACAACACTGTCCGGCGGTGGATATTTGACGGTTGTATCGATTTCATCAATCAGCGGTGCATCCAATCAAATGGCACCACAAAAGTTTCCACATCGAAACAATCAAATCAACACCGCCCGAAACCATTCGGCATCGACGGTAGTATTTGGTTTCGCGGGAAATAGTATTATAAAAAAATAGTGAAAATTAACATATATATTTTTTTTGGTTGAAGCATATATTGTTTTGTTAGGTTGGACTTCAAGCAAAATTCTGATGACTCCACTGGCTACGCTACTGTAAACGTCCTAATTAACTCCCCATATCCATGGCCCAGTTTCAGTAGCCCTTTGTAATTGTAGCAATAATGCACGAGTGACCATTCTTGACTTTGGAAGGTCTACATTAATTACCACATGCAAATTGATCATAACTATCCATTCTTGACTTTGGAAGGTCGACATTAAATACCGCATGCAAATTGATCATAACTATCCAAAATATGGTCGGTTGTCCTAGTGGGACATGAATTTTGATGGTTGGAAGAGGCATGACTTATCGATACATGCGTGCCACATCAATGTGTGATTTAGTGATGCCAACAGTTTGTTTGTGGGTACGATTTATGTCACTATATATATATATAGTAAAGGCTAGCGAACACTAGTGTACGCTATATGTATGCGTTCAAACTTTGAATTTTCTTATTTAGACTAAGAATTAATTGGAGTTCGGGGCATTATATTATGTCATAACTTTTAATGCGTGAATTCCAGTTGATAATTCTCTAACTCGAACCATAAAATTCATTTAGTCTAAAAAATAACAACCAATAATTTTTATTCATCAAAATATATCAAAGTACATAAAACAAGTGTGCACGCGAGCGTATAGTAATAGTGTATATCATGCTCAACTTAAAGCTTGTTAACCGGCCTACCTAAACATATTAATCAATCTCATAACTCAACACTCACCACTGAAATTATTGAAGCAAATTGATGAATGATTGCTGATATAAAAGAGCCAACTAGCATCACCATTTATTTCTTCAGTTGACCAGGTGGTGGTGCATGGATATGGTAGAGCCATGCCTGCAAGTTGTTACATTTAATTCGTCATAAATTTTGCTTTTAATTTTCTTATCAATCAACGTACCTAATTATTTTGTTTTGTTGGAGGATGCCTATCCTATCGATATGGATACAAGCAAGTCATCAATACTTTCGTTTTCAGCCCTTTAATATAAGTAAGTATATCTCCCAGCCCAGGGGTAATGGCTACTTAACTTTATCAATAATTCAATATCAACTAAGCCATAGAAGAAGAATGTCGATCATAGCTATTTTGCTCCTATCTTTTCTCTTCTTCATATCTCTATGGTGCTCGATAGCATTTCTATCCAAGAGCAAAAGCGCTCCCGTCGTCGAATGGCCGGTGGTGGGCATGCTTCCGGCCCTGCTTTGGAATGCAACCACCGATCTCCACGGCTTCGTCGATCGAGTCGTGAAAGAGAGCGGCGGCACGTTCGTGTTCAAAGGGCCGTGGTTCGCCAAGCTGGACTTCGTGCTCACAAGCGATCCCATGAACGCCAACCACATCTTCAGCAAGAACTTCGCCAACTATGGGAAGGGTGAAGATTTCATGGCCGTGTTTGAGGAGTTTTTCGGGGAAGGTATCGTCAACACTGATGGCGAGTCGTGGAAGATTCAACGACAGAGGATCCATTCCTTGTTCAACAAGGATGGGTTCGAAAGCTTCGTCATGGAAACCCTCCAACGGAAAATGGAGGGCACCTTGTTCCGAGTCCTTGGTGATATTTGTTCGTCACGAGGACTCGGAGATGGTCAGGTGGACATGCAGGACGTGGTGAGCAGGTTCATGTTTGACAATAACTGCATGTGGGTCTTGGGATTCGATCCAGGTAAAGTATTAGGAATTAACTCTCGATTTAAAACACAAAGTATTAGATTACCTTTGTGCAATATACCAATCAATTTTATTTCTGTATCAGGTTACCTTTGTGTTGACAGACGTTTAGATACCTTCTCTTGTGGTAAAGCATATGACGATTTTGAGGAGGCGGCCATATACCGACTTATCGTTCCCAGAGGTGTGTGGGAATTCCAGAGAAGACTTGGGGTTGGATCGGAGAAGAAGATTAGCCAAAGTATTAAAATCTTGGATGAGTTTTTATACGGTGTCTTGAAAGCTAAGAAACAAGAGTTGCACAAAGAAGAACAACGTCAGCAACTTGATTTCCTAACACAATGGATGGTAGCGGATGAGAAGGGAGAAAGTTCAGATAAATTTCTACGTGATTTTGGAGTGACTTTAGTCGCAGCAGGGAAAGACACTATGTCTTCCGTTTTAACTTGGTTGCTCTGGCTGGTTGCGATCCACCCTGAGGTTGAAAGAAAGATTCTCGAGGAGATTGAGCGAGTAGTGGTAATGGCTACACCGGGTCCAACTCAAAGAGAAGGAGGAAGATTAGGGTTTCCCATAATAACTAAGGATGAGATGAATAGGCTTGTGTATCTCCATGCAACCATCTGCGAGACGTTGAGGTTGTACCCACCTGCACCATTCGAGGTTAGATGTGCAGTTGAAGATGATATGCTCCCTAGCGGCCATCTCATTCATAAGGGCACTAGGATTTTGTTCTCCATATACTCCATGGGAAAGATGAAAGAGATATGGGGGAATGATTGCATGGAGTTCAAGCCTCAAAGATGGATTTCGGAACAAGGAAACATAATCCACGTCCCATCGTACAAGTTTTTAAATTTTTTGGCAGGCCCAAGGTCTTGTTTGGGGAAGTCGTTGTCTTTCATGCAACTCAAGTTCGTGGTGAGTAATCTTTTATGGAACTACAAGTTTGACATGGTAGAGGGTCAACTTGTCAAGCCACTTGCGTCTATTATGCTGACAATGGAAAACGGCTTGAAGATGAGAGTTTCCAAGAGGGATTTTTAGGAAACATCATCATAATAATTGTGGTTTATAATAAATATTGGTATGAGCTGGATTGGTATCTAAATAATGTTGTAATATTATTATCATCATTCATAATTATTATTGTCTTATACAACAAATATACTGTGTGGTGCGATTTGAATAGATGACATGTTTTTGGAAAATATTGCAAAATCCACCTCAGTAGTGTTGTTTTACTTTTCGTGATGTAGTATACAGTATACACCGTTTCTCCATTAATTTTAATAAAATAGAGTTGGGTCTTTTGCGACGGAGGCGAAGGTTGCTAAAATCTCTGAAAGTGGTTGCATTAGGTTATCAAGCTACCTAATTCTTCAGTATAAGTATCTCCCCAGGCCAAATAGTTACATAATTATCAATAATTATCAAGCCACCTAATTTTTCAGAATATGTGTTATCAGTTATGGCCATTGGAGACAAATTTATTTGACGTGTGGAGACAAAATATGAGGAGACAAACTATTGAGAAGAAGAGAATAAGATATGTGGAGGTTGGAGGAGGTTAATAGGATTAATTATTATAGTTTTTGTATTACTTTCAATTTTTTAAATACCCTTATTAATTAATTAACTTATAGCTTCTTATTAACTGCCTAATACCCAGCCAGCCAATAAAAAAACTTTAATATTTTCCTTAAGTAATGAGGCTTAAGGACCCGAACTCAAATCTTCTCTAACTATAAAAATGTAAGAATGAACATTTAGTGAGTTGGGCTGGAAACAGTCAATTTAAACCGACTAAATCCACCCTACATCCTAATGAGATGGGTTTTATTGAATTGATTTGGATGGATTTCACAAATGACCCATTATTGATGCATGTGGGTGTTGTGGTGAAAAAGAACATAGCTAGAGAGTCTTGTTGCGTAGTACTAATGTTCGTATCATTATGTGTACTAAAGTAATCGACCGACATACCAAGTCAAAAGCTAGAAGCCTAGAACTACCAATGAAAGTATAGTATAAGAAGCCACGTAATTTGTAGATGCTAAATTACAAACAGAAAAGACATTACTAGGAGATATACCAATTATAAAGCCATAGCAAACCAATATCGAACAAATAATAACAATAGCCACATAAGCTTTCTATATCACGAAATTGATGCCCTTTTGGAAACTCTCGTCTTCAACCCATGCTTCATCGACAATATCATAGACGGTGTTGGTTTCACGACACGATCTTTCCCATATCAAGCTTGTAGTTCCACAGAATAGCACTGGTCATCGACTTGGGTTGCATGAAAGCCATAGTCTTGCCTAGACAAGTCCTTGGTCTTGAGATAAAAGTCATGAACTTGTACGATGGAACATAGATTATGTTCCTTTTTTCCGAAATCCATCTCTCTGGCTTGAACTCCATGCAGTCTTCTCCCCAAATCTCTTCCATCCTACCCATCGAGTATATGGAGACTAATATCTTTGTTCCCTTACGCACACAATGGCCTGTAGGGAGGACATATGCTTCCACGACACATTTGTGCTCAATTGGAAAGGGTGGGTACAACCTTAAGGTTTCGCATATGGTTGCATGGAGCAATATTAGTTTGTTAAGCTCATCCTCGCTCAGAAACCCGCCACTTGATGATGTTTTTGTGGTCATGACTTGTTTGATCTCTTCAAGAATCCTTTTCTTGACATCTGGGTGGGTCGCCACTAGCCATAACAACCAAGTTAGAGCAGAGGACACCGTGTTTCTGCTAGCTACTATCAAGCTGATAGAAACATCTCTCAGAAACTTGTTTGAGTATTTCTCTTCTTCTACCAAAAGATGTGTCAACAAGTCGCGCTTCTCGGTAGTGGAATTAATGATATTGTTTCCCAATGTTGATAACTCTTGCTTCTTCATCTCGATGCTTGCATACAAGAACTCGTCCAGAATCTTGCAGTATCTAGCCACCTTCTTCTCTACTCCAATCTGAAGCATCTTTTGGAATTTCCAAACACACATGGGGACAACATGTCGGTATATAACTGCCTCCTCGATTTCGTCAAATGCTCCCCCCAACAACAAGGCATGATCTTCTGATGATGACAACGATTTGGAATCAGACCCAAAATGGGGGAGGGTATATGGATCGAATCCAAACACGAGCAAACAAATATTGCCGAACACCAAAATTTTCGCCACATCCTGCATGTCCAAAATCTCACCAATCTTTCTTCCTGATGCATAATCATCGAGGACTCGGAACAATGTGCCTTGCATCTTCACCCTCAGGGTTTGCATCACAATATCCTCAAACTCCTTGTTGTTTATCAAGGAATGAATGAGTTGCCTTTGCAACCTCCATGACTCTCCATTGGCATTGAATATGCCTTCCCCTAGAGTCTCGTCCATTATGACTTTTACGAATTGAGGATAGAAGAAAGGAACTTCTATAATATAAGATAGAAGTAAAGATCTTCTATAGGTTGTTTTGAGAATAAAGTATAAAGGATGAAAGCGAGAACGACTTTTGTCTAAGGCAGGAACCCTAATAATGTTTTAGTAATCATTTTCCTAGGGCAAAGACCTTGGAAGTAACGGCGAGACTGACCCCTTCTCACTCACCAGGTGTAGAGAGTGGGAGAGGAAGTTTTCATCATGAGGATGTTACCAGAGGAGAGCAGCTGCGCCAGACTTGGAGATGTCGCAAGGATCGGGGTAACTAGATGGAACCATTTATTATTATTACCTACTTTTCATGTCTCTCTGAGTATATTGGAACCCAAGGTTGGGTTTATCGGATACGAATTGGCGTCGCCCAAGTGTTTAGGGCCTTTCCTTTGAGATTTTTAAAAGTATTGGTTATTGTTTTGCCTTTTCTACGCGGCTCGGGTTGCTCCGGTGTAACCAATTTTTCCTTTGAGTTATGGTTTGGTTTTCAAAAAGGACCGGGTTGTTTCGGAAACTTTTATATCACTAGTAGCATACTCAGTAGAAGAACTCGAGCATTTCCTTGCTTGATAATCGTCGTACCTAGAACAATCATCGATTATCTTTATTGTCGAATGTTTCTCTTCAAGTAATGCATTGGGGCATTAATATAAACTAGTTATTTAGCCCGCGCTATGCCGCGGATTATTTGATTTTTTTTAATTGAATATGACATAATAATAGATTATCATTTCAAGATTTTAATTTTTTTGTTGGATATCTTTTTTGTTCGATTTGTTTTGTTGATCAAAACATGTGGAGTCGTTCTACATGCAAGACTTATTCTTCCTGGTTTCTTAAATATTTCATATCTGTGTCGTATAAAAGAAACATAAAACTCGATATAGATCCTAGATCTCACTCTGTTATGATTTTAAATTGGCCGCTCTGACCACATAATTTGTAATTCTTAGAAATGTTTAATTTTGTTTAATTTGTAAAATCATTTGCTCACCCATAATGGATGATTGTGAACTTGATATATATATATATATATATATATATATATATATATATATATATATATATATATTCAAATCATTTTACCTATAATCCTTAAGCCTAAGCACAAACTTCAATACTACCATAACTATCTAAATTGCTCCCGGGTCCACTTAAGGAATAGATTTTACCACTCCATGCATGTTTGCATGATGTAAAATGATCATGTCCATCGCCTACCTTGAAAAGAATAACATATAGTCATATAGAGCAACCGAAAAGGGAAATGAAAGAATAGGGCAGAGAATCAAAATTAAGACTAAGAAGTCACTTATGCATGATCTAGTTGGATCTACCAAATAAATCAGTGGTATTTCGATGCAAAATACAAAGCAATCAATCTCCAGAATCAGATTTGACAGCTCAAATTGGTGTGTGAAATAAGCACCCAGCTCGGCAGCTAGTGCCTCTTCCATCTCACACTGCAATGAATTTCCCTCATTCGTTTGGCCGCTATATAGTAGTGTCTTAAAAGGCAAGCAAAAGGGAATCGAAACCGTGATTCTTTTTTTTTATAAGTCACATTCAGCAAGACTGCATGAAACAAATAATACACAGTAAATGGAGCAACAACAAAAGACAACCACATATAAAAGCATATATAGGACGCCTAATGAAAAAGAGTTAAACTTTGAGCCAAGGAAAACGGCAAAAGACTTGCCTATTACTTCAACCTTGAGCCATTATCACAAACCAAAGTCCACATATAAAGAACCATATATTCATGACTTGGTATACAGTATCCTAATAGCTAACATGAACCAACTGAGAGACCATTACGAAAGAGCAAGAAAATCACTGCAATGGTACCATGTCAAAACTAATGCAAACGATTGAGAAATAGGGAACAAAAGAAATAGAATCCCTTCATATATACTAACCATAAGGTTGTGATCATCAGATGACTTAGAGAATCTATCTCTGTTTCTTTTGATATATCAACTATGCAGTTTGCAACTCTCTTTGCCAGTACTATTCATTCAATTCATAACGGTCTTGAGAATATAATGAATGCCCTATGGCCTAGCTGAACTACAAATCATGGAAAGGATTATCCAAAATCTTGAACTGAGATGCAAGGATGTTGATTATGAGAAGAAAGATTTTTAGGCCATTTTGAAGAAAGGAACCAATGCCCTGGATATGGAAGAGTTGGCAAATAGGAAAGGCAACAACAAACCATACAATTATAAGATGCTAACGCCACACGTATTGACCCAACAAACAGGGGGGCTAGCAGGAAAACACAAAAACAATCCCTAATTCATGGAGAAGGTCAAACTTAAATATCTCTAATTCTTGGCACAGGCAGTGATTATGCGAACCAAAGGGATTAAAAGGAATGATGAAAAGAATAAGAATCCCATCGAAATTAACAACCCATAATAGAGCAGTATCTATCTAACTAACATCCCATTGGAAATTAACAACCCATCTATAAGAAATCATTTAAAGGAGAGGTAAGATTACCAGTCAATTGGATAAAAGCATGAATACTTCTCAGAAGATTAATAATGCTTAGTGTCCATGGAGAGCTCTGACTTCCCCTCCTCTAACCTTCGACAGTTGACTTCGGTAATGGGGCCCAAATCCATAGAGCTTTATCCAGCGAACGTTGGGAAGGAGGAGGAAAGGTGTGGTGTTTGATGAGCTAGAGGGAAGGGAAAATCCCAGC